AGTGTGAGTGTGTGTGTGTGTGTTTGGGTGTGTGTGTGTGTGTGTGTTACCCCGTAGTCTTCTGAACTCTTCTGACCTTGTTACTCTCCTCCGCTGCATCTATTTGTATCATGACAAAAACAGCGTATGTACTACTTCAGTTCTTCTACTTCAAAATTTCATATTCAATTCAGTGAGATTCACGTTTGTAAACTTGGAGTATTTCTGATATTAGACTTTAAACTGCACTTCGTTTAACAGATCATTTTCTGGAAGAAAGTAAAATTGGCAAACACACTTACAGGCAGCGAGTGTCCGAACGCCAGAAGAACCAAAACCAGCAAAGCCATCTTCATCCTTAAAGTCACTGAACAAACAATCAAAGCAATTAATGAGGCATCTTCAGGGTTTCTGCGGGTCTTAAAGTCTTAATTCACCCTTTCGCAAATTAAGGGCTAAAAAAAAGGAGCAGAATGTCTTAAATACATAAAGTCGTGGCATTAAATGTTGCATGCACTGCAAAAAATGATCTTCCTCAGAGGTTTCCAGAGCAAACATCATTAAATCAAGATACATTTACTTGAGATGCAAAATGAAGATTTGAAGTCTTGTTTATGCTTAAAACAAGAAAAATATCTGCCAATGATTTTTTTAATATTGTTCTTGTTTTATCCATAAACTCACTTTATTTTGATCAGTTTCTCAAAAAACGATACTTCATATCTTCAGTCATTTTGCATCTCCAGAAAATGTATCTTGATTTAAGAATCTTTAGATGTTTGCACTGGAACACGAGTTCAATTAATTCCTTAAACTTTCTCAACTTGATCCAAAAAAGGTCTTAAAAGTCTTAAAATGAGACTCTAATGAAGAGCAGGTGGTTGGTTCTTACCTGTGATCGACCCGAAGCGCTCCGTTTCGGAGAACAGGACGGAGATCACGAGCTGAAGGTCGTCTGGATCTCCTCGATCTCACCGACGGCATTTAAACGAGCGTCCCGACAAGCGGGGGCCGTCAGACAGACGCTACGTGCTTTAATGAACATAACGGAGGCCCTATAAACATCTATTTGTGTCCGACCACAGGCAGATGGGCTAGATGGCTGAAAAAGAGCTATTTTGTAAACTGAGCTCATTGCCGGACACTGATATGAATTTTGATTATACAGATGTTTAATATAGACGTTTTAATTTCCCCTGTGAGACAATCGCAGCACTTTTGTGGGCAGATTTAATTGAAAGTGAGATCTTCAGGACGTGTGTGCATCGAGACGTGTTCTTCCTTTAGATCGCGCCTCGTTGTGCTGATGATGTAATGCGGCGGGAAGAAAGTAGCAGAACACGCCACAGGAAACTAAAGATGTGCTGTGACCTTCCTTTATTAGAGAGGAACTTCCTTTGCATCTGAAGCGCTGATTTGGATAATGAGTCTTTCAGATGTGTTTTCAAAGCTGGACACATTTGGTTCAGGAAAAATACATATTTTATTATAGATAATATTACAGATTTTGATCATAGATAAAAAAAAACATTTTATGATACATGCTAAAATGTCGATAGATTTTGTAGATAAGTAAAAAATATAGATCTATTTTATAAATAGATATTTTTCTAATAAAATACAACTTTTAGTACCATTAAGATTATTAAACTTAAATTCCTTTTACTGTGAGTGGAAAAATATATATTTATGAAAATTGTAATAGTTTTCTCTGTAAAGTTCAACAAATGCTACACTGTAAAACTTATTTTTTAGGTAGTAAATGAAGATGATTAAAATGCGTTTTTAATAAGAAAATACTATTTTAGGCTTTCTACTTCAAAAAAGAAATTTGCCATTTCTTTGTAATTATTTGTGAAATTTATCAGCAGTTTCTGAGTAATGTTTTAACGTACATCCTACACATTTTTTTAATTACCATAATTTATATTTACAATTGTACTCTACAATTTTTTGCATGACAATAATGAAAATTGTTTTCACAATACAATATTAAGAATGAAATTTAATTAAAATAATGCCACAATGCCAAAAATAAACTGTTTCCTTTATGCAACATATAATTTCTGCACAGGGAGATAATGTAAAATTTGTAAAAAAAAAACAAAAATAATAAAAAATCGTGATCTTTCTCACACATCTGAGAACTTTTCAAATTTGGAAATAATCCAAAATGATGCTGAAAGTTGGATAATAAGTATTGCAAGCTTATTTATTTAATTTATTGTATGTTTAATGTAAACTTATTTAATGTAAGTAATGTAAGTATTGTGAACTCATAACAATTTAAGACCCCTCCAGACCAGACCAGACTGCACCCAGCTCTCCAAAACCACACCAAATCCAGTCTGATTCGTTCATCTCCCTCAGGTACATTCAGAATTAATGCTAATAGATCAGATTCACACAAGATGACATCAGTGTCAAATTACTGAAATTTCATCCTAAGCTTTATTTTCTCAGAAAAAAAAAATGGTATGAATCACAAACTGACAGAAATCCAACAAAGACGAAAATCACTGACATTCAAAAATATATTTACATACAGGCGGTTATTTGGATAATTGAATGCACAAATGTCATGTTATGTCATACATGTGTAAGTGTTTCTAAGTTGTTGTTTTTTTGCATTATTGTAGATACTGTAATTTGCTGCAATATTGAAGTTGTAACGTAGACTTTGTTAGTTTTTCCTGTTCCTGTGTTTCCTCTTTGACCTAGTTTTCCATGCTCCCTTGATTAGTTCATTCTGTTCACCTGTGTTGATTTAATTACCTGGTTTGCCTTCTCCTAGTATTTAAGCCCTATGTTTTGCCCCTGCTCCTCAGTTCCGGTATTAATGTTGAATATCTCCTGCATGAGGATTTATTAAATAACTCTCTTTGTCAGGGTTTGGGTAAAGAGATGGCGGCGAGGACTCGGCACACAGGGAACAAAGACAAAAGCCATGTGCTCAGACAAAACAAAAACACAAGCACGTGGCCAGCAAAAAAAATAACAAGCCATGTGCTTGAACAAAAGAAGACGTGAACACGCAGCTAATAAGAGTACTCATAAGCCGCGTGTTCACACAAGACATGACAGCATGAAAGCATGCAGCCAATGAAAAACACAAGCTGCGTGCTACACAACACAACATAACATGAATGCACACAGCCGATAAAAACATGAACTGCGTGCAACAACACAAGACGACA